GTTGTAAGCTGTTATCTGGTTATGATAGAGACTGGATTTGAAAGGGCCTCAAGGCATGAAATAAATGTAGAGCAGCTTCTGGACGTGTGTGGAAGTAATTTCAGCTGGGCACTGGGCCACTATTGACAACAGGCTTTAATATTTGGATGTATGGGATGGCTTTGGAGGCTGAACCTGTGAGCTGTAGCTCAGGGATTCCAGCCCTTCCTTTCAGAAGAGATATCTACTTGTCTTATGCAATTTGAGGCTCAGGGAATTTGAAGTAGCTGAACTGATGCAAAATGTCATTTTGCTTTCCTCGATGATATGAAAGAAGGGAGGCAGGGTTCCTGGTTGGCTTATTTGTTTCTTTGTTGTTTTTCTTTTTCCCCACCCTGAACTCTATTAGGGGATGTGACAAACAGCAAACAGAGGAGGAAGAGAAAGAGGTACACGCCCAAGCAAAAATGAAATATCTTTAAAAAAAATAATAGAAGAGCTTTTTCCCCCCCCCATCAAAGACTGTTAAATATCTACAACAACAAAAACATATTCCACACAGATTCATTGTGGTTGAAAAAAACCCCATGTTTTTTAAATGTCAGCCAGCTCCAGTTTTAACCTTATTGTTTCTCCCTCTCCTTAAGTTCCCAACCCCATCCCCTGCTGGGGACTGAGTCATGTTCTGTTGTGAGCTCTCCTTAGACAGCTCACAGCTCTGCTCCAGTCGCTTTTTCTGGCCCTTCTGTTCTCCACGCTCTGAAGTTCACTAACCCACCTCCAAAATTTAGGGTGTCAGCTGGAAAACAGAACGTTTCCAAGCTGACTCCCCTGCTCGGTAGCAAATCAATTATTATAATGGCCTGGTTATTGACAGGTGTGTGGGATGTCTTTCTCCTGGGTACAGGGATGACACAAATCCAGTGTTAAGCATCCTCCTCATCTCCATCTCCCCTCTGCTCACTCCAGCCCTGCTTGCCATGCCTCCAGAACTGGCTGTTTCTAACGTGCCTCTCAGGGAACAATCACACATTTGTGTCCTTACTCTTCCTTCCTTTTGGCTTCAGCCCCTTTTAAGCATCTCCATAGTTACCTCTTCCTCAGGCTGCAGAGTCAGAGCTGCCTGTGTGCAACCACCTCGTTGTCTGGAATGCCCTTCCTCCATCGACTTCCTCTCACTGACTTCCCCCCAAAAAGATGCAGCTTTTCCCTCTCCTCTGCTCTGGGATGGAACGCTTTGATTCATCCACCAGACAACGTGCCCACTTCTCTGCCTCACCTAATTCATGCCAGCTGCTCTTTGATGGCCTGTGATGCAGTTTTGAGTTGGATGTTACGGTTCTGGGGGAGAGCAGCTCTACAGAACGATTTGTGTTTGGCTCTTCCCTGGGAGCTTTACAGCCTGCAGGATGAAATGAGAAGCGTGTCTCAAGGCTTTTGCAGTGCACTGCTTGTTCTCAGGGAGTCAAAGGCCACCAGATAATAAATGAAATGAATTGAACAGACTAAGAGGCTGCAGTCGTCAAAAGCATATTTACTGCAGGCTTGAAACCAAGCACTGTGATTACTGAAGTTTTATATTTGCAGACAGATCCAGTTTAGCCCCTGTGAAATGCACCACTAAAACTAATGCCAATCCTCCTGAGATTATCAGCCATTCCAGGATCTCGGCTCATTTAGCAAATCTAACCATTAAAGGATAAATGCACTTCAAACAGGGTTTTTTTCTTTTTTTTTCTTTTTTTCTTTTTCTTTCTTCCCTCCCCCCCCCCCCCTCCAGCATCTGAGCATTTACATTTCTCCTCCTGTTGTTCCTACCTCATTTTGTAAGGGGCCCCTCTTTGTTTCCCCTCAAACTGAGATCTAGAACAACTCAGCTAAATTTTAGCCCTCGAGGGGCTGGTCTAGAGACCATTTGGTTTAGGCTGGTTTTGCCATTTCCAGATACTTCAGCAGCCCTTCTACCTCTGTGTGCTTTCTGAACCTGTCCAAAACTGATTTAAATGTGCTTTTGAGGGCTGGGTGCCTTCATCTGCATCTGTAAATCTTGGGAGAGCAACCTGCCCTCCTGGGATCTTTGCTGCACTGAGCTCAAAGCCCACATCTATTGTCTTCCTGCATTTCTCTCCTGCCCTGCTCTGGTGGGAATAACTTGGGGCTGTGTTGGCTCAGTCTCCAACTTCTAAACAATGAACTGTTCTCCCTTTTCCACTGCTAAAGGAGCAGCATTCCAGTAGCTGTCAGCAGCTGCCTCTGCTTTTTCTTGCCGGGGATGAAAAGTGGGTGTGGGAGGTGTAGCCCCCAAACCAGCACCAGATCGTTGCCTCCCTCTCCTTTGCATCTTTGCTGCAAACTGAACCCAGGGGGGAGAGGCTCCAGCGTCATCTGAATTACAAAATCACTCCTATTGTCAAGCCTTGAAGTGTCACAATCTCTTTCAAAACCCAAGGCTGTGACATTCGCTGAAGAACAGCCGTCGTTTCAAAGTCAGGAAGGGCTATTCTTAGCACATCAGTCAAAAAAGGAGAGGGGGAAAAAAAGTCTTTGGGGAGGGAAAAAACTACAACAATTTTACCAAAATGAACCTTGTCAGAAATGATCGATTCATCCTCCATTCAGACTGACCTGGTCCTTGCTGCATGCCACAGGATGGAATTTGTTGACATGGCACAATAAATTAAGATTGCCAGATCTCCTTGTAATTAATTGCCTTGCAGCGCAGGTTTGGCAAAGAATAATTTGAAGTGATTAAATTACTGGCAGTTTGGTTTGGGTTCTTGTTTTGTTTTTCTTTTTTTTTTTTTTTTTCCCTTTTTAAGGAACGTTTCTCCTCAGTTAGTTGAAGAATAGATGCTGATGAGTAACAACCACCTCCCAGTACTTTATTTGTGCTATTTAAATACCTCTTTCCTGCTAGACCAGTGCCTCCTCAACAGCCAAGAGACAAAGTTAAAACATGATAAGAGTTATGATTCTTAAATTAAATGGAAATTCTAAAGCAATTGTCCTAATACATACTCAACAAACTACTCTTCAATTTAACAAGAAAAAGAATTTACTAAGTTTCTGGAGTGCTAACTGAACATCTGTGTTATTTCAGAGCTGTGTCTTCTAAATTCTGTCTATAAAGAACTTCTGCTGGTGGATTCTTCATATTCGAGGGCTGAAAGTGCAAAGAGCTTTTTCCAACCTGCTTGAAAAAGCCCCGCAAAATTATTTATATCTTTAATTAGGTGGGGACAGAGGGTGCTTCTGAGGATGGGATTCACTGGGGGATGATGCTGGAGCAAGTCTGCTATCCAAGCAGATCCTTGACACCCCTGTGTACGTCCTGACCATCTCCAGAGGGACTGTCATTAACGTGCTTCTCTCTTCCCTTCTCTTTAGTATTCATGCAGTGATGATCATGTGAAAATTACTCACACTTCTGACTTGAGAAAACTTTCTTAGCCGAGAAATTCAACCAATATCGAGGGAATTAGAAATTCAAATGGGGGGGAAATTATACACTCTGTGTGTCAATACAGCAAACCTCATAAAAGCCGCAATCAATCACATTGGCATCAAAGGTGCCGGTGCTTTTCCCTGTCACCAAGTCCAATGAATAAAGGAAAAGGTTAATCAGGAGAAGAAACCTTGGTTTGCTGCCTGGAGAGAGGGGCTGCCACGTGCAAAAGCACAGGCCTGGAGTGAGTTCTGGAGATGCTTTGGTTGTGATCTGTGGTCATGCACAAACCTGGTTTGTGTGTTGCCCATTTCTCTGCTGCCTGGGCTGCAGAGAAGGTGCTGTCTGTGTTTGTGCTGTTTCAGTAGGACAAGAGTTGTCTCTCCACCTTCATTTCTTGCAGTGGGCTGTTGCACAGTGTCCTCTGTTTGAGTTCCCCACTCCTTCCCGTGCTTTGACACCTCCCATGTTCCTGATGCAAGTTAAATCTCAATTCCTCATGCCTGGGTGCAGCCTCGCACTGGGCAACTCACTCTGCAAATCCCTTCAATTCATTAAATGAATTTAATGATCCAGACTGGTCTCCCACTGTCCAGCTGCTGATGGAACAGCATGTGGTACAGGGTGGACTTCCATAACCATATCTTTATATTTTTTTTTAACCACATTATGTTGTATGACTGATCAAAACATCAAGGGACCCCTCCCGTGTCTCACACGCACGATGTCAGACCTCAGGCAGGGATGTGTAAAACCCAGCAGTGACTTGCAGAGGCTGCAGCTGATTCCTGCACGATCCTGTCTCTCTGCTCCTCTCCTTTTGTGTTTTGACTGCCAAATTTTGTGGTTTTGTAGGTCTTGTGTCTCAGCTCTCTGCTGTCAACTCCCTGAGATGCAAGAAGTAGGCACGGCCCAGATGCTCGCCTGGAGCAGAAATAGCACATCTTTCTACTACTATTCCCCATCAGGTCCCCTGAGTCGTGGATTTCTGGCAGACAGCATTCCATGGGGAGAAAAAGAACCTCAGGCCTTTAGTTTGCAGTTGTTGTAAAAACCTGATTCTGGTTTCTGTGTAATTTAGCAGATTGAAATGAGAGATATAATAAATCTCTAAGCGACTCAGGAAGCTTTTACCGGTTAAAAACTGTTCAGATTTTGGAATAATCAGTAATCCCCTCACATTTCCAGGGGCTTTTGTGTACTTTCAGTGTCACAGCTACAGCTTTGAGGGGTATGGGTACTGATAAGTGCATGTTTGCATGTTGCTGGATGGGTCTTCTCGAAACTACAGAGAGACAACAGGGATGAAGCAGCCAGAAGGATAAACAGCTCCTCTGGTGATGATTTAAGACTTTCTGTGCACACATAGATATATTATTTTCAGACAGGGATGTAGGAAAGGTGAGCAATAAGATGCTGAAAATCCACCAGCTCAGTGCGTGCAAAAAACGAGGTTGTGCCCGTACAGGTGTGTGTGCAGGTGGGTGTAGGTGCATGGAGTGCTCAGAACCATCCCTGGTGCCTCACCAGCCCGTGGTTGACCCCCCAGGAGCTGAGCTGCCCGAGGCTGACTTACCTTCTGCGCTCTCCTCTTGTCGGCTCGCTGGTTCTGGTGGTAAATCCGGCTGAAGTTGGAAACAATGACTGGAACCGGCAGGGCAATGACCAGCACCCCACTCAGGGAGCAAATGGAGCCAAAGATCTTCCCAGCGATTGTCTTGGGCACCATGTCACCATAACTACGGGGAAAAACAAAAAAGGGAAGCCCCTCCTTCAGACAAAAAAAGCCTTCTTAGGTTTTCCTGAGTGCGCGTTCAACGCCGGACACCACAGCTTAGAAATCCACCATGCAAGGGACAGTTTGTGGTGCTGTCACCCTGAAATGGCCACTGACACCACAGTTTGGCTGGGAATTAAGCTAAACTAAAAAAAACCAAAAAGGCACTTTTGTTTCTGCTCAGGCAGCTGCTGAGTATTTAAATTCCTGTCCTTGCTTGTTCCGTACCTGCCTCTCCACGTAGATGAGCTCTAGCAAACTTTAAACTCTGTCTGCTTGTGAGCAGGTTCATATATTTTCATTCCCTTGTATCCAGGTGCAAATGAAGACTGATTTACACTTCCATTTCAAAGCCCAGCAGTTTCCTGGCCATCTGCACAGTCAGGAATTTGGGGGTTGTTCAAAGTCTGTGCTCAGTGAAAGGTGAATTCTCAGGGATACGAAACCAGCTGAAAAATGTTCAGAAAAAACCTCTGCACTGGGTTTGACCCAACAATCTTCAATTGTAATTTGAGTGACAGAATAGGGAGCTGGACCTGGTGGAGCAGGTCCAGAGGGGGTCACAGAGATGCTCAGCCCCTCTGCTCTGGAGAAAACCTGAAAATTAAAATCTGGAGAAGCCCCCATTTGCTGTCAGACCGTGTTTGGAATCTCTGTGGTCTTCTTTGAGATGTTCTAGTGTTTGATGCAGCAAATATTGAAAAGCAAAATGCTTTTTTTACAGCTGAGGCTTTATTTTTACCTTTGATGTCGGCGTTTGACCAGCAAAGAGCTTTGATGGGGAACAGAGTTGAGCTGAGAATAATTTCCATCCAAGAGGAAAAACAAATATTTCAAAGTACCTTTTTTATCAGCTGAACTTCTTGCCCCCATCCAAGAACTTGTTGGTCTGAGAGTCTGAATAAAAGCAGAAGTCATTACATGTTAAATACTTCAGGCTTCATTAGCTGAGGGTTATTTATCCCAAGCACACTCCTTCTCCACCTTCACCCACATTAAAACCCTCAGAATACCTCAAATCAATAATTGCTCTTCGTGTCTATTAACATTTTAGCTGCTGCTTTATGCAAAGATGGTTCCAAAACTCTTGCTAAGTGACAAGGTCTTCTACCTCATTTAACACTGGCCTAAAAAAAAAAAAAATAATAAAATCCTACTTTTCTGCTGCCAGCCCTTAACACAATAAGGCTGCAAATTAATCATATGCCTCAAACACGATCTCAGTGACCCAGAGCACTGAGAGAAAGCCCTTCTGTGCATTTGTAGAAAGTGTGATAATAAGTGTCTGGCTCACAGTCTGTCTTTGTGGGGTTTTGTTCTTACGTGCAGACTGAGAGTTACCTCATTACTTGGGACTCGAGAGAAGGTGCTTTCAAACCCCATCAAACTCTTGGAGCAAGGGAGGGTTTTGCTGGGGGGATGGAGAACTTCATGTGCCAGACCATTATGAGAGCTACTGGAATGAGAAACTTGGCTCTGGCTGGAGCAAACCTCACAGAAACGAGACCTGAGATTTGTCACACTGACTGTGGATCTACCACGGAGTCACCCACGGGGGGGACTCTGCTGGATTCTCCCCTCGGGGCTGGAATGGCACGTCAGGCCCTTGGGATGTGCTGCCAGACCTGATGTTTGGGAATATCAGGGTAAAACCCAGCTGGAGCCTGATCTGGATCTCTTTGCACTTGATGAGAGGCCTCCTTTTGACTTTGGCAGAGCCTATAAAGTTGCAATTGTTCTGCTCCTCTATTGACACACACAGCTCCTGCAATATTAATTGCTGGAGTGACTATTTCTGTCCTGATGGTACCATAAGGTACTAATGGCCCCATGGCATATTTATAACAGGTACAGTGCCAAATAAACTCAGATACTGGATTTCAGTTAGCACTAATTAGGCATTTCAAATCCCCAAACTTCTTTTCCCCAGACTGGAAAGAGAGGACTCAACTTTCCCATTAATTTGTTTAGAAAAAGGCAACTTGTCATCTAAAAAACTTCTACAGAAAAGTGCATTTTAAGTAATCCATCAATAATCTCATTAGAGCAGAAAAAGATAGAAGAGTTGGGTAATGATTAACATTCAGGGGGTCTAACAGGATGTTTGAGCCTGCAAGAAAACAACAGGAGGCTGCAAATTCAGTAGACTTTTAATGTGACCTCTAGTAAATCATTTCAACTCTCTGTACCTTGGTTCCCCACTTAAGAAAGGGCAATTAATAACTTATTCTTTGCCTGGTTAGTTAAGTAGGTGTTGGTTCTTCAGAGCAGGAGCTGCCCCATATTCTGAATATACCCAGTGGTGGCTCCTTAGTGCTGCTGCATCACAAATATTAATAATGCAAAGCAGTTGTACAGAAATTTGGGGTAAACACGGCCTGCACATGGCCCCAGGCTCATTCCTGGGGACAAAATGAGGGTCCAGAGCATCAGCTGGAGCTGAGCATCAGCTCAGATGAGGAACACACCTAGAGAAAAACATACTCCCTGCTTATTTCGCCAGGAATGCAGTGAGATGGCAGCAGATCGAGCTGGTTTGCAGTTGCTGAATTCAATGGAAGTGGAAGGTTCCTTGCCCGTGGCTGGAGGGGGGGGTGGTGGTGGTGGAATGAGATGATCTTTAAGGTCCCTTCGAACCCAAATCATTTTAGGATTCATGGCTCTGCTCTCTGGCTGTGCCAGGTGAGATGCACCTGCTGCCAGCCAGCACTTGGGGTGCTTTTGTGTTAAAAAAAAAAAAAATAAATTCCTTTTAAGTGCTCACTCTTCAGACTGCAAAACACTGAATGCAGAACTTCAACAACTTTGTTTTTTTTTTTATTTATTTTTAATTTGTACTGTGACTTCTGCGTTCTTTGGATATAAAAAGGGGTCATGTGTCACTCACCCTAATTAGCAGCTATTAGTCCTGACAGCATAATGTGCTGTTGTTTGTCTCTCTGTCAGCAGAGAAGGTGTTATCAAATAGAGGGCACTGCTTCCAAGTCCTGGTTTTAGCCACGGAGGTGTCTGGACGTTGCTCAGGCCCCCAGCTGGAGACAGCAATAAATAAGGTGCTGAACAGCTCATCAAATGACTCACTCTAAAAATAGCAGCATCTCTGGTGATCCTGTGTCTCTGTGCAACGCTCACAGCCCCAGAAACAGGGGCTTGTAGGAAAACAGCTGGAATATCCCACGGTATGGGGACCTGGGGAGGGGGAATGGCAATGACAGCTCTGTGGGGGTAGTGAAACATCTTTACAGAAGATGCTCTTTCCCAGCAGCCTTTTTGTACCAACTTTTCTCCCTGGGGTAAGGCAGAGCTGGGGAGGGGCTTCTGGGTCATAAATGACCCTTTGTCTGCTGGTGTCTCCATGGGTTTCACTGGATGCAGAGGAGGCAACAGGGCAACTGAAAATTGCTGAGCCTGTATAGAGTTCTAGAACTGGTTTGGGTTGAAAGGGACCTTAAAAGTCATCTCATCCCACCCCCTGCCGTGGGCAGAGACACCTTCCACTAGCCCAGGTTGCTCCAAGCCCCTTTAGGCCCTGGAAGGGGCTCTCAGGTCTCCCTGGAACCTTCTCTTCTCCAGGCTGGATACCCCCTGGATACCCCACAGTGCATCCAGTGGTCAGGATGGTGCTTTCTCTTGTTGCTGTGTTTCACTGCTCAAGGGCCATCGCCTGCCTAGTGGTGCAAAACCGTGTGGTTTTCACACACAGCCCGTGCCAGCTGAAATATCTGATGGAGCTGGAAACAGAAACAATGCTCCTTCCCCTGATTTAGTATTTCTGCCTCATCCTGGCATTAACAGCTCTGGGAGAGCTGCTTTATCTCCCTAACCTTTTGCCCAGCACGGCAGAGTCAAAAGAAGATTTCACTCCAGCCTGCAAGTGTCTGCTTTTAGGACAATAAGGACAGAATAATAACATTATGTACTGTACAATAGACAGTGATTTTGAAAGCCTTTTGCATGAAAGGGCTGGAATAAAGCATGGAATTAGCATGTAGCTTTCCAGGTGCAAGAGATCCTTTCTCTGTACTGTAAGTAAATCACTATGCAAAGTTGGGATTTGCACAAAGGAGAGGGGAAAATGGCTAAAATTCATCAGGAACGTTTCAGTTGCACTGGCAGACTGTGTGTGTTGTATTTGACAGCTCAGAGGAGCTCATGTGCCTCCATTTCATAGGTGCAAGTCCGATGTAATCTTGTTAATGCTGCTTTGAACCCCCAGTGAAATAATGATCGTGTCACTCGTAATGATCCAAAGGAAACCAACCCAAGTATTACTCATTCCTTTCGCACATGACAAACGAGCAGGGAATTAACAGCTCTGCTAAGAGAGCTGGGGGTAGTTAGGTCTTTTGTTTAGGGTTTAATTCATCATTTCTCTGCCACATTACCTGTTTTCATCTGCCTGGAATTAGCCCTCAAAAGCCACAGCCCTCTGGAGCACAGGGAATTGCTGTTTTTGCCTGCTGTTCTGTCCATGGAATCACTGAGCAGTTTGGGTTGGAAGGGACCTTTTAAAAGCCATCTAGTCCAAACTCCTGCAAAGAGCTTTTCCAGTCAGCTCATCCTGGAAGGAGCAGGATGTGCTGCTGGAAGCCTGAGGAGCCCCACACGTGAGGAGGCTCGTGGTGCCTCCTCGAAGAGGGAGCTGTAAACAGAGCCAGGATGGCTTTGAAGCAGGAGAATCTATAAACAGGCTGTCAAATGACAGGCTTGAACAGCAAATCAGCTGTGTCTGGGGAAGCACAGAGCCTATTTCATGCTAGGGTTCTTTTGCATTAAATATACTTATTTTTCTGCCTTGTTTTGAGCTGGGCAGCTCCCCCAGATAGGTATTCAACTTCTAGCTTGGTTTTACACCACTGTTTTCCTTTTTTCCCAGTATATTTCATTTGGGAATGTTTTCCTGGATGCTCTAGATATTCAGCTGAAATTCCACCCATCAGCCAAGCTGTGAGGGATGAGGGC